TATATCAGTCAAAATTACTTGTTCATATTTGAATCTTACTGTATAAATAGTAACTATAAATAATAAATAATGTGTAAATAGTACTGAAAATTTTCGTATAAATAGAACTTTAAAACTCTTCATTTTATATACATTTACAATATTAACAAAACTCTCTCACTTTAGTTTCTCTTTCTAAAAATTTTCTTCTTAGTTTTCACAATGCTTGTTGAACAAATGAGTGGCAGTATTGTAATTAAATCTAAAAAAGTGGTTTATAAACATGCTTCTTTTTTATAGGGAAATGAGATTTCACATGGTTATAGCAGAAAGTAGAGAGTGACAGAGAGAGTGACTAAGTGATTGAACCTAACATTTCTCAAAATGTATTTGTAAAAGGTTATAGAGAACCGCCAACATCATTCTTTCTGTTACTCCCTTTAACACTCTTTGTATTTATTATTTGATACACGTACTATACTATCTTATTTTCTATTTAAATAATAATATATCATGTTAGTCGAGTCTATATGTCAAATAAGAAGTACAAAAAGTGATAAAAAGACTGATACTGACATTTCTTAAGATTGTATTTAATCAATAAAAAACTAGGAAGGCATTTACTACGTCACTTATTACCAATAAATTTGTTATGACCTAATATTCCTCCTTTTGTTTTATATATGTTGTGTAGTAGGGAGTTGTGTTAGAGCATCTCCTAAGGAACTTTTAAGTTTTAGGTAAATTTTAATTAAAATGACTAAAAAGTTATTTTATCTAATAATTTTTTAATAAGTCACTTTAACTACACTCTTTATTTTAGTTAAATACATATTATTTTAATATTAATTGAATTTAAAATATAATAAATTCAATGAATTTACAAAAAAGAAACTTTACATTTATTACAATTGAAAGAATAAAATAATACACAAAATAAAATGTCTAACCTCTCTATGTTAATTGTACTTAGTTAATATGGAAGGTATTCTCTAAAATAGCTAACTATTTAGCTAATAATTGAAATGATAAAAAAATTTAAAAAAAAACTAAATCATTAACCATTTTGATTAAAATTATGAAATAGTTAGTATGATTAGAGTTACTCTTATACTTAGTAAACTGAATATTAAAAAAAAAAAAAAAAGGTGGTGTGTGGGTGGGGAACTTGAGGAAACTCTCTATCACCAAAAAAATAAAAAAAAATAGATACTAAAAAAAAGGGTGGTGGCCCTGGTGCTCTCCATCACAAAAAATAAAAAATAAAAGAAAGAAAGAAAGTTGGTGAAGTAAATATCACACCTCATAACGTCCGTAATATAGCGGGCCAAGTCCGACCTTAACTCTAATCTCTGGACATTTCTACTGGCTGAAAAAAATAAAAATACTAGAAATATTGTCCTCTTTGGCATAGAAGTATTCAGTCAAACGATTCTTCTAAAAGAGAAAGTTTAAACCAATAGCCCAATAGCATGCTTGAAACAATTATGGTTCCGTTTAGTTTGTTAATTCAAGTTGAGATATAATTTTTTGTGAAAATTTTTTACTGTAATAAAAAAATTAGATTTGACTGTTTCTGAAAGCTTTTTACTATAACAAAACTCAAATTCTAAACTCGAATTAGTGAAATGAACGAGATCCAAGCATCCGTTTATTTCATTAGTTTAATTTAGTTCAATTCAGTTTGAACGGCGAGCTCAATTTGAATTGGTGTTTGGTAAGTATGCAGTTTAAATTATATTTTCCGCTTGAACTGAGTTGAACAGTTCAATTTAGAGTTTAGCTCCTCTATCAGGTTCAACCGTTCAAACTATTTTTTAAAAGTAAAAAAGTACTCACTCTTTATGCTTTTCACACTTACTAAATATAAATTTAAATTTTATTATACATTCAAATTAAAACTTTAACTACACATTTAAATATTAATTTAAACTACAATTTAAACCACGTAATTTAAATTTTTTTATTTAAATTAAAAAGTTCAAATCAATAAAATTTAAACTAACCAACCAAATTAGGGCAAAAAAAAAAAAGAAGAAAAAAGTGACTCAATTAGCACCAAATACCAAATGGCTCATCTGACAAGTCTCTTTTTCTACCAAAAATCACTCACAAGTCTATTGTAGTATGTATATCATTTTCTTTTTTTGGGCTTGAAGTCTTGAACTATCATATACTGTATATCAATATTAATTTAGACCTCATTTATTTTGCTTATTAAAATTAAGAAATTGAGCTAAACAATAAATTTAAGTTATAGAAAATATTATAATAAAAAAGAAATTTTAATTTTATAAAAGAAATTTAAGGGTTGTTCTTTTGGAGTGTAACTTGAGTGTAGTTTTTGAGTTGAATTTGAGTTATAACTTGAGTTGAAGTTAGAATTTGAACAAAGTTGAGTAAAATTAAATAAAATTGAAACTTAAAAAAATGTGAACTTAAATAAAGTTAAAATTTGAGTTATCTTTTTTTTGAATTTTTTAAACAAAAAAACATGCTTTTAAATTTTATAAAAAAAATATTATAACAAAAATTTGAGTTATAATTCAAACTATAAAAACGAATAAGTTCTCAGCAGAAAATAGTCTCAAAATCCTATCTATCTTCCCCTTTTAAGCTAAACTCGTAAAATCCTCTTATCCCAAACGTCCCATCTCACCAAACTCCTTTCGTTAATGGTGGACCCTGGACTTCAAAGTGGACCCAGATTGCTCAACAATCAACCTCTCACCAACTCCCTTCTCTTACAATCGGAAAAATAAGTAATAAAAAAAAAAAGGAAACCAAACTCGCTTCTCTCTCAGGCTCTCACAAACACAAACAGTCTGTTCACCCCACTAAAAAATTGTATATATATACATATTTGTGTATGGTTAGTACTAAGACCCGAATCATATGATTTAATTCCGATATTTTAAATTTTAACAAATTACTATCTAAGTATTGATTTTCTGACATTGTGGTCCATAATAAATTTTAGTTTCATGAACAATCAAAATTTGTTTTATGATATGATGAGTTTTTAGGCCCTGTTCATTTTATCGATTTAAGTTTTTAATTTTAGGTTTTTACAGTTAAAAGTTCTTAAAAAATATCATATTTAACTTTTTTTGTTACAGTTAAAAATTCTCAAAAAATATCACATCACAATTTGAATTAAATATTTAAATCCGTGAAAGCTTAATGATTCTATTTACCTATTAAATATAAAAATTTAATAATTAGACGTGATAAAAATTAAATCTTCTTAATTATATCCTCAACCACTAAACAAAGACAGGTAGAAAATAAAATAAAAAAACAAGAACAAAAACAAAAAAGGAGGAGGAGGTTGAAACCGGACAACCAACCAACATGGACCCCACAGAGCCACAAAGCTCAAACCGTTCCATTACAAAAGCCAGGCTAAACAGGGGGTTGGCCAATACTCAACACGAACGTTGAAACTTAAAACCCACGTCTCCACTCCACTAATATATCCACCACCACCACCACCAACAACAAACATAATAATCATCTTTCTTGATCTCTTCAACAATATACATTACAAAAACCACCATGCCAGCTGCCGCCGAAACGACGTCGCCGCCGAATTTCTGGGGAGACATGCCGGAGGAGGAGTACTACACGTCCCAAGGGGTGCGCAACACCAAATCCTACTTCCAAACCCCTCATGGCAAGCTCTTCACCCAGAGCTTCCTCCCCTTGGATGTCCCCAAAATCAAGGGCTCCGTTTACATGTCCCACGGCTACGGTTCCGACACCGGCTGGCTCTTCCAGAAGATCTGCATCAATTTCACCAACTGGGGCTACGCCGTATTCGCCGCCGACCTCCTCGGCCACGGCCGCTCTGACGGCCTCCACGGCTACGTCGGTGACATCGACAAAGTCGCTGCCGCCTCCCTCTCCTTCTTCGTCCACGTCCGCCGCTCCGACCCCTACAACCACCTCCCCGCCTTCCTCTTTGGCGAGTCCATGGGTGGCGCCGCCACCATGATGATGTACTTCCAATCGGAGCCCGACACATGGACTGGCCTGATTTTCTCGGCCCCACTCTTCGTCATGCCTGAGGACATGAAACCGAGTAAGGTAATAATAGGAATACTCTCATTTAAGTCAACTAACAGTGGAGTGATATAATGCCGTCTATGTTTAAATGATGGATGACTCTGATTTATTTTACCATTTCCAGGTGAGACTGTTTCTCTACGGGCTGCTCTTCGGAGTGGCCGACACGTGGCCGGCGATGCCGGACAAGAAAATGGTAGGGAAGTCGATCAAGGACCCGGAGAAGCTGAAGATCATAGCCTCCAATCCAAGGAGGTACACCGGGAGTCCTAGAGTGGGGACCATGAGGGAGCTGGCGAGGGTGTGCCAGTACATACAGGATAATTTCTCGAAAGTGACGGCGCCGTTTTTGACGGTGCATGGGACGGACGACGGCGTGACGTGTCCGTCGTCGTCGAAGCTGCTTTACGAGAAGGCATCCAGTGTGGACAAGTCCTTGAAGCTTTACGATGGGATGTACCACTCGTTGATACAAGGGGAGACGGACGAGAACGCCAGCCTTGTGTTGAGGGATATGAAGGAGTGGATCGATGAGAGGGCTGAGAAGTACGGTCCAAAAATTATTAATTTTTCTTCTTAGTTATTTGTATTATATATTAATTATGTATCATGTATACCCACCAAGAAATTAAAATGGGAAATTAAAACTGAAAAGAAACACGCCCTATAACTGAAAAGTTTGCGTGATATTGTTGTATATATGTTGGGTGGTGTTTTGGTAGTGGCAGATAGATCATAAATATGAGAATCGGATTCTGAAAAGAAACACGCCCTATAACTGAAAAGTTTGCGTGTTATTGTTGTATATATGCTGGGTGGTGTTTTGGTAGTGGCAGATAGATCATAAATATGAGAATCGGATATATTGGATGCATTTGGAATTAGTTTTAAGATGATTATATTTTCTGTATGAAACTGGAAATAAATGTGTTTTTAATCTCAGATAGAAATCGTTTCAGAAAATTCGTTTGGAAGTTTTATTAAGAGATTATTTTTAGTATAAGAAAAAACTAAAACTCTGTTTGGTTATACAATTTTTATTTTGATTTGAGAGCACTTGGTTAGTTCATTTAAACCCACACCTACTTGTCAAAAAAAAAGGCATCCACCCAAAACTAAAAATGAAAAACGACTTAAATTCGTTTTCAGTTTTAAGTCATTTTACACTAAACTGAAAATCGTTTTTGTTTTCGTTATTTTCACTTTTTTCCTCCAAACGTGTTTTCCTCCTCAATCTCTGCTTTTTTGTCTCAGAAAACGTAAAAAATGAAAACGAAACTGATACCAAACACACTCATTGTTTTTTTTTTTTTTTTTATTTTACTTGATGTTGGTGATGTCATAAACAATGTAAAATTTAAGCTGGTGATGTCAAAATTTGGACCAAGACAAATATTCGCCCTAGCTAGTAAATTTTGTGTAATTGTATATGTATATGAAGAATTTGTCATCCATGTAATGACCACTATTTCTGTCCAATGTAATCACGAAGTAGGAGAGATTTTTGTGAATTTAAATTTCAAATGAACCAAAACCATTCTTACGTTCATTTATTAATTTATTTATTTGGGAGGAATCTTATAAAGGTAGGCTTCCCCTTTGAGATTTAACCCAATTAAGAGTGTGGCTGTGCCGAGGAGCTGTGGAAGCGGGGGTGGATAACAGGTTGGTTCATTTGTTTTTTGTCTGTGAGAGGATTGCTTTTATATATATTTTTTCTTGCCATTTTGCTTATTAATTTCTTCATGGACGATATGATATTTTTTTAACTTTTTCCTGCCAGTCATTTGTTTATATGTTTATGGTCGACAATGTTATTGATCTTGATCGCCGACACAATAGCTACTTTTTTTTTTTAGTAATTAACATTAAAAACAATCGTCGTTTTCCGTGACGAATCTGACGTTTTTGTGCGGATAATATATGTTTAATTATAATGGAATCGACGATTGAAGTGGGAAGATCAGTATAAAAATAAAATCTCATTAAAAGGAAAACAAGAGGCTGGTCCACCTGATAATTGAAAAAAGATAATCGATTTTCTTTTTTGGGGAGGTTTGAAAGCTAATGGAAAAGCAAAAGGTAAAGAAAAAGCAAGCACGCCCTCCAATCTCGCAAAGAAGCATTATATAGCAAATTCTCCTTTAGTTTAGCCAATCGATTTTTTACAAGAGTACACGAAACCAAACCTTAATCAAACATCAAAAGTTAATTATTTTCAGTCTCTTAAACTTTAAAGCTAGTTTTGAGCTTACTCGTATAATTTTAGAAGAAATATTCTTGAGGAATGAGTCTTTTGACTTTTAACACTTAACCTAACTCAAAAAATTAATTTTGAAAGGGAAAATCACCCCTTTCTTATGCTCACACATTTCTTTCTGCTTTGCAAGGTTGAAGCTCGCCTCGAGTGCACGGGTGAGGCTGAGGTGAGCTTCCTTGAGCGACGACATCACCGAAGTGAGGCCTTATAAAATTAGCCAAATTTTGGTGTCATTGTCAGTTGTTGAAAATGGTAAGTTTGGCAACGTGCAAGTCGGATTATTTTCAAAATTAACACTACGTTTGGTGCACAATATTGTATTATATTGTATTATATCGCATAATTTTTATACAATACGGTGTTTGATTTATAGTAGATTATATTATATTATGTTTACCACCATATTGCATTTCGTATTAGTTTATAATCGTAACGTAGCTTATCATAATTTTTGCAATCTCAATCCAAACCCAACATTAAGAGCGGGCAACGAAGAAGGTGAGTTGTTCAATAGGGTATTTTTGCAAATTTTTTTAAAATGAGGTCAAATTATAATTTTTAAAAATTGAGGAGTAAAATTATAATTTAGAAAAAAATTTGAGGTCAAAATATAATTTTATAAAGTTAAGGGGTCAAAATATAAATTTTTAAAATTTGAGGGGTCAAAATATATTTTTTTTAAATTGAGGGGTCAAGTGCAATTTAAATTTAACCTTCGCGTCGGTGTCGAAACCTTATCCCGACTCTTGATATTTGTAAAAACTTTATATGTTTTAAAAGTTAAATTGCATAATATAATCTAGGTTTTTTTTATCCATAATAGATATTACACTATGTATTGTATTAAATTTGAATTTCATATTAAATTATACAATTATGAAATGTTGTCAAATATTGTATTATTCTTAAATAATAAAATACGGAGTATTTATACGGTGTACCAAACAGGTATTGACCAAGTTAAATTTGTTGATAAATAATAATTCATTCTAAAAAACAATGTGAATCTAAAATACTCCTCTCTAGAGAGACAAATTATGATTCTTTCTAAATACAGTAATATTTCTCTACTTACACTTTCCTATCATATATCAATTTAAAAATGACAGTTTTTATTAAAGCATAAAAAAAAATATCAGAGTTGATGGAGTAGAACCCCTAATTTGCTACAAAAAAAAAAAGCCGTAGTAGTTTAGTTTTGTAAATAACCCAACTAATTTAGAGAAATGTACATGGTAAGACTTATAATAAACCCAAATTAGTGTCTAATGAGCTACTTTGTCTTCAAAGCTTAACTATATTAGAAAAAAGTACATAATTTATCATAATTTTATACAATCCTATTATTTATGCCCTTCTAAACTGAAAAAAATGAGGGAAATAACAGAAATAAGGAAGGCAATTAAAATAAATAACATATATTAAAAGTAGGCTAAGTAAATGTCAGAAAAATTTAAGGCCCCGTTCACTTCACTGATTCGAGTTTAGAATTTGAGTTGAGATGTGACTTTATGTGAGAGCTTTTTACTGTAGCAAAAAAGTTAGATGTGATTGTTTATGAGAGCTTTTTACTGTAGAAAAACTCGAATTCTAAACTCGAATCAGCGAAGTGAAGACAAGATTCCTCTATCTCTCATCAAATCCAATTGCTTCCTCTCTCCTCAAATCACACGATTCCTTTCTCTCTCCTATGCGAATCTCTTCTTTCCCGGTTGAACTCTCTTCTAAACTCCAACATCTAACAATACCTATGATGAAGTTGTAGATTGCGGGACTCCAATCTCTCGAAACTCGCACCTTTGATTTCGCGAGTGAAGACAAGAAGTTGGTCGGGAGAACGTCGATCTTGTGCTCGTATGCGTTCTCACGACATTTCAGCTAGGGGTGGCAATTCGTATCACGTGTCGTGTTTTAATCGTTTCTTTTTAAATTTACAGTCAACCTGAACACGACCCGTGACATGAAATTTTTTAAAAATCGCAACACGAACATGACACGACCACTTTACGAGTTGACATGACACGACCTGAAAATGACCCGTGACACGAAATTGACCCGTGAATTTGAAATTGACACGAAAATTTTATACTTTTATTTAATTTTTTACATATTAAAAATAACTTAAAATTCATAACACATTAAATTTTAATAACATCAATTGAAATTAAGCAAATAATAGTATAAAATTTTGAGTATAACTATCATTATATCACAAGTTTATAATCAAATTTAAAATATGAAATGAAAAATATATGTATTTTTTAATTTTTTACGAGTTTCGTGTCGTGTTCGGGTTAGGCGGGTGCAACTCGAAATTGACCCGTGTTTTTCATGTCAATTTCAGGTCAACCCAATTCTGACCTGAACCTCTTTTTTCTCAACCCTAACCCACAAAATTCGTGTCGTTTTCGAGTTGTGTCGTCGTGTCGTGACCCATATTGCCGGCCCTAATTTTAGCCATCTCAATTGAAAAAATCAAAGCCATCCACGAGCAACCGAGCTTCATCATTTACGTGGTAAATGATTGGTACATGACTAATTTACGTGAGGGTTGTTCATCGGTTTAAAGCTGACGGTTTTAATCGATTCGACGGTGTCAGTTTTCGAGAAATGAAAATTGAAACCAAACTAAAAGTTAAGGAAATTGGTCAGTTAACGGATCGACGCCGATCAGTTTTAAACGGTTAGTTTAAAGAAAATATTTTAAATATGTTCATTTTTTAAATTTTAACTGCTTAAATAGTTAAGGCCTTATTCATTTCACCGATTCGAGTTTAAAATTGGAGTTTTACTACTGTAAAAAGCTCTCAGAAATAGTCACATCTAATTTTTTTACTACAATATAAAATTCTCACATAAAGTCACATCTCAACTCGAATTAAAAACTCGAATCAGCGAACTAAATGGACCTTAAAATTCATAAAAATTAAATATTTAGAGCCAATAGTATAATTAGCCTATTATTATAGGCCCACTTTTAAGCTTTAAATATGAATATTTACTATAAAAAAAAATTATACTCAGTTTTTTTTTATTTTTAATTTCAACTATTTATAGTCTAAATTCAAGAAAGAGAAGATTTTTATAAAGCCCAAAATATGAAAGCCTTCGAGGCTTTAACTTCAATTAATGCAAAACACAAAACTTGAATTAAGTGGTTTGAGTTCACCAACGGAAAAAAAAAAAAAAAAAAAAAAAGTACTTGAATACCAATCGTCGGAAAGTCATATTTATCTAAGAGAGCAGACACCAACCTGACCACGGGAATTCTGCAAAACTGGGGGATTATAGGAACACCTTTTAGAGAATATTTATTTGCACATATTCCACTTTTATTATAAAAAAAATTAATCAATTTCCATATCTAGACTTGTAATTGATGCACAACCTAATTTACACCTGAAATTCTTCCAGACTCTGCTGTCCAGCCCAACCTAAAGAGTCTCTACACTGCAGTTGGGT